GCCCTCACCGTTGTGGATGCTGCGCCTCATGCGCTGCGGCTAACAAAGCCGCGTTCGCGCCCAATATTGAGCCTTCGTCATGCAGCAGCCTATAGGAGTTGAGACTTGCTAACATAAAAAGTTCTCTCATCTGAAATTCAGCCAAAAGAGCGAAGAAATGTGAAGAAGACTCAGGATGCTTCAAAAAAGAACCTATTAACTTACATGGCACAGTTTTGCTGTACAAATTGTCCCGTATGGTAGTTTGCAGCTCTGCCCATTGTTTATCAGCTAATATCTCGCAAATATCGTCCGTGATGGCACCTAAAATTTCGAGCAGATCATAAAATTTAGAAAAAAAAAAGTAGAAAATTTAACAGATAAATAAATAAGCAATAAATGGAATGAAATACGTATTAATAATTGAAAAATGGCAAAAAGGAAGATTTGCCTACCTGCAGGGACAATTTCCACAGCTATTTGGTCATTATCATGGCATAGCCGCTCCAGCAACCGGGTTACTTCTGATCTCAACATACCGCTGACATTTCTGCAAGGTACGACATGATTACGGTACATTGAAAAATCGATAATTGATTAACTGCCTGGATAAGTAGTGCACTAAAGGCGTGTTTACTAGATCAGCAGGCGTGAGGTGGGGGTACGCTCCGTTTCATAATGACTTTCAATTATTTTCACGCCTAGCAACTGTTCTCGGAGATTCGCAGGAAACCCGTAAATTCCGCCGAATCAAAACAGTTTAGATGCTAGGATTTGCAAGGCAGGTTGGAGCAAACTAGGAAAGGGAAAAAAACCGACTGGCAACTTTCTTTCTAGAAATTTCGCTTTCCAAAATTGGATAATCGAATTGCATTCAAAATTTGGCTGAAAAAAAAGAGGAAAAAGCAAATAAAACTTACACATCCTCAATTTTCAAAATAACATCATTGGGATTCAGAATTCCGATGAGATCTTCACGCTTGACGATGTCGATTAGAATCAGTCGAGCAGCTGCAGCTCCACCGAATACCGTAAAAGGGATCGGAACACTAAAATCAAAGTTTCAATCACATTAAGGCAATTGCTATATGTTAAACTAAACATCCCGCCACTTCTTTTTAAAAAAATTTCGAACACTCTTGCAGAACTTTAAAGGAAAATCACTTTCCATACAACAGAAAATTCTGCTTTTCAACCATAAGCGCATAACAGATTTCATCAAGAAATGACTTCGGGTCAATTTTCTTAAAGTTAGGATACATCGAATTAGAAAAAATCAAAAGAATTTGAGTTTATAGGCAATGGGATTTGCATAGATGCAATTTCTAACGGTTTTTCTTATAGTTAGCAATCAAGTGTCAAACAAATCTACAAAATTTTGCAATGCTGTCATATGGCTTGCACAAAATTGTATTGTAGATGGGCTCCCTACATATATCTCTCCCCACTACGAGTATCCCCTTGGCCTATAGACTTGGAAGGACATCATATATGGGCTGGAGTCTCAAACGTCACAGTACATTAGCCTCCTACCTTTCCGCAACCGAATCCGATCCGCAAGTGGACGGAGTTGTCCCGCATGGTACTCGGATCAGACGTCGTGCCGCGAGACCTGTAATGTGAAAAAAGGAAACTTTTACAAAATGAGGAATAAAGCTAAAATCACTGCTTGTAGGAAATGAAGAGATGTGAGAAAAAATTTGATAATTTCTCACAGTGATCCAAAGATACAAAATTGAAATGTGCTCGAGTGATGTGCTAAAATGAGAGAAAATAGACGAGTATAAAACAAAAAAGCAGATTTAGATAAATGTAAGCAAAAAATAGACTGAAACAGATGAAAAGGAGATCAATCTACAGTAGAAATAAAATAATGTTAAGTGAGCGAATTCTCGATTAAATTTTTGGATAGGTGGCAGAATTCTAACAGATTTGGTGAGCAGGATTCAAATGGTATACACAGTTTAAACTTTATAGCGCTTATTCACACATTATGCAAATTAAACAAAAAAACCACCAGCAAAAAATAGAACCCAAGCAAGAGAAAAATTTCCAAAAACATACCTTCTCGCTTCCTCGGTGAGCTAGAAGTAGATTCATTCAATCGCTCAGCGCTGCTTGTGCCAGCACCAATACCTTGATCCTTGCCGGTGGATCCTAAAAGGCAATATTTTTTTGAAACATGCAAAAATTTGGACAGTGTAGACATATAATAAGCTTTACCTGTTTCTCGGCCTGAAGACGACGCTAGGGATGTGGATGGACTGCGTGGATAATCTAGCATACGATCGAGGGCCA